CGCCCTACCACTGGAGCCACAGCTCAGCTTCTGGCTATTTGGGAAATTAAGAGAGTCCTCCCCGGACTGGCTGCGGCCCCGGGCCTCCCGAGGAGCTAGGATGGCAGGCCTGACCACCGGCGCCCGGCTTTTCACGAGCCTCTGGAAACGCTTTGCTTCCCCCCCTCCCCCCCCCCCCCCCCACCCTGGGTCCGACTCGAGTGACATGGCATTCATGACTCAAGGGTTTTCCAGATCGCCCTGGCTCCTTTCTCTGGGCTCCCCACAGGAAGGTAACTTTTACAGGAACTTTATGCCTGTTTGTTTATGTCATCACCTCAAAGGCACCATAGTGAAGAGAAAAAAAAAAAAGGCTTTTGTCAAGTTCCCATACTGCTGTGGGAGGGCTTGGGCCTGGAGGGGTAAGCGTAAATGAAAGATTAAGTGAAATCTGTGTAATGCTCTTTAGCATTGAGTGGTCTTTTGAAGGCACTTAGTACTTTTTTTTTTTAATTAGCACATTTACTTATTGCTGTGTAGGAAATGTTTGTTTGCTTACCTGCTTCAACTTCAGGCTCTTTCTCTTCTCTATAAACAGCTTAAGTGTCCTCTATCACACCTGTGCTCGGATCTGAGTGCCCAGGTGGAGTTAGCCTGTGGGAAGCAGATGTACATGGTTGTAATTAACCTGCTTGGATGGCTAGAACACCCTAGACTGATAGCTTAAATGATGGCAGGTTGTTAGATGGGTCAGGACCAAGGTACTGGTTTGGAGTGAGGTCTTTTGCTCTAGCTGGCAGCTGGCCAGCCTCTCGGTGTGTCCATTGTGGCCTTTACTCTGTGTGTGCCCCCTTGGTGCTCTTCCTTATGTGGATGCCAGTCTGTGGATTAGAAGCCCACTTTTGTGGCTTTATTTAACCTTAGTTTCTTCCTTAGAGGCCCTGAGTCCGAATTCAGCCACATTAGGGGCTGGATTTGGAATGGGCTGGGAAGAGCAATGTGCATCATAGCCAGCCAGGTGTTTTATTGAACAGAGTGGGAAGAACAGGGTGGTCCTGATGTCACACGGCTCTGTGGTAACAGTGTTCCTTTTAATACCGTGCCATAAATCGCGCCCCCCAAAACTAACAGCAGCTGTTTTCTAATGTTTCATTCCTCTGAGGGTTGATGGTGCCCAGCTGGGAGGTTCTTGGGTGGAGTCTTGTGCGGTTGTAGTCTCCTGGGGGTTGTGACTGAATTTGTCATTGGCGTTGATTGTAGCTCAACCCTCTCCTAGGATTTGCCACTCCCCTGGGGCTCGAAGCCTGGCTTAGGAGAGGAAATGTCCCAAGAGGACCAGGCTGAAGGCTTCGAGTCGCTTATGACTTGACCTCAGAAGTTTGTAGGGTGAGTTCTGCCACCCGGCTTGGAGGGCAGGGACAAGTGCTGGTCTGCGAGGTGGGACACGTCACCACCGTCTTTTCGTGCAGAGTATGTTGTATACAGCGACTTGTGTTTCAGACCCCCGAGAAGCAAAGGCCAGATGTGAAAAAGAGCCTTGTGTGGTACTGAGGAGGGAAGGGTGTGGCAGCGGCTGAGGCGAAGCCACAGAGGGCTGGTAACAGGAAGTGGTGCTAGGTCTTGGTTGGGAAGGTGAAGGTGGATTTTGAGAAGGCTTTCCTCCGCTCATTGTCCATTATGGCAACACAAATCCATTAGTAATGTTTCTCATTAGCCTAAAGATGGGGCTGCACAGCAGGCACATTACTTCTCTGGGGATCTCTGCATCTCTGTCCCACCCACAAAAACAATCTAGTATGGGTCCTGAGGACTTACCACCGGTGAGAAGCCATTGCAGGGTTTGAATGAAGGGCAAGAGAAGCCTGAACTGTTGCTTGGCACTAGTGTTACAGGGCAAGAGCACAAAGCCTGCTGAAGCTTGAACTCAGGGCCTCATGCTCACTGGGCTGGCTTGCTCACTTACTTGCTCAAGGCTGGCACTCTACTTCTTGAGCCATGCCTTTAGCCCAGCTCTTTGCTGGTTAATTGGAGATGGAGTCTTACAGACTGCTCTGAGCTGTAATCCTTCTGATCTCAGCCTCCTGACCAGGATTACAGCTGTGTGCCTCGCATATCCAGTTACAGAACCAATTTACGAGATACTTGGATAATAGGTTGAACGTGGTAAGGAAAAGCAGCCGGGAGACGAGTTTTGGCATCAAGAATCGTACACCAGCCTTGCAAAAGCAGACAGTCACCATTTCATCATGGAGGATGAGCGCTGATTTCCCCAGGATCTCACAGCCATTACGTGTGGAGGCGCCTCCTTTCACGTTTCCACCCTGGTGTCAATGCAGTGGGAGAGGTTTAGAAAAGGGGAGAGCTTGTGGGGAAGTCAGGCATGTTTTTGTGGGGTGTCGGGTCAGCTGCTGGGCAGGAGGATGAAGTCCTGGCCCAGCCTTCTCTCCCCTGGGAGGGAGCCCTCTCCCGACCTGGCTTGCTGTCAGCCGCACGGATCGTCCAGCTGGATCAGCATTCTGGCCACTTCAAGGACAGGGTCCATCCGCAGCTGTGCTGCTGTGCGTCCCAGTGGGATTTTGTCTCAAAGGCCGAGTTTGAATTCGACCCCTTGCAGCCTGTGGCCTTCAGCCAAGCGCACTGCCGCTCAGTGCCGAGGTCAACACTTTGCCTTGGTGCCCAATCTAAAACCCCTGCCTAGCCAGTGGGGCAGTGACCAGGCACCACGGCCCCAGCCCATTTTTATCCCTTTGCAGGGCTTGTGAGCTACTACTCCTGAATCAGGCACACAAAAGAGTACAAGCTAGGAGGAGTTTGGGCAACCTCTAACAGGAGCTAGGACCTGGGGAGGAAGGAATGGCCTCACCCCTCCCCATGGCTCCACTTCTAGTGCCTTTCTGCTGGTCCTTGCACTCTTTCTTTCCAACAGTGTACTTTTATGCAGTTCTTCACTTTGAAATGGTACCTTCATGTCAAGACAGAGTCGTCTTCCCCCCAGCCACTCAGGTGACACACTGCTTGTCTCTGGGAACTCGAGGAGACACTCCACACAGGATTATGCAGCATGACCTTAGCATAGGATCTGACATGCAGTGGTTGCCGTGATTTTAATTCATAAAATCGTTGCAAAAGTTACTTAACAAAACTGCTGTGCTAGTACTCGAATTCTTGCTTGCCGCCTTCTATCAAGGCTGGTGCTCTTACATTTGAGCCACAGCTCCACTTCAGGCTTTTTGCTGACTCGTTGGAGATAGTCTCATGGATTGGTTCCTACCCCCAAGCTGGCTCCAAACCGCAATTCTCAGATCGGAGCCTCCTGAGTAGCTAGGATTCTGTTACTTTTTGGTGTCAGCTACCAGCATCCAGACCCTGCCTCAAAACAACACAGCACCCAGCCTGGCCTGTTCTGTGTTGTATTGTTTTTCTTGTGGGTAGTTTGAGATAGCCTAGGTTTCTTTATAAGTTACAGTCTTTAAAAATGTATCATTAGCCAGGCAACAGTGGCTCACACCTGTAATCCTAGCTATTCGGGAGGCTGATATCTGACAGCGTGGTTCAAAGACAGCTGGGCAATAATGTCTGTGAGACTCTTTATCTTCAATTCACCACCTGAAAACCAGAATGGCGCTGTGGCTCAAAGTGGAAAAGCACTAGCCTTGAGCAGAAGAATTCAGGGACAGGCTGGGAAGGTGGCTCAGTGGTAGAGCACTTGCCTTGCATGCTCGAGGCCCTGGGTTCGATTCCTCAGCACCACATAAGCAAAAAAAGAAAAGCCAGAAATGGCGCTCTGGCTCAAGTGGTAGAGTGCTAGCCTTGAGCTGAAGAACTGAGGGACAGCGCCCCGGCCCAGAGTTCAGGCCCCACGACCGGACCCCCCCCCCAAAAAAAAAGAATATGGTCAAAGCAGCTTAACAATGGCACCCGTTGGAAATGAAATTGTTTTAACAAGGTGAGTGGAACAGAAGGAGAAACACAGGGAGTCAGGTTCATTAGAACACATTGTATACACATGTGGAAATGTCGCAAGGAAATTCTCCTGGTACAATTAATGCATGCTAACAGAAAAAATACACATGTATATACATATACACATTTTTTTGTTGTTGTTGGTCATGGGACTTGAACTCAGGCCTGAGCACTGTCCCTGAATTTTTTTTGGGGGGGGCGGGGTCCGGTCGTGGGACTGAACTCTGGGCCTGGGTGCTATCCCTCAGCTCTTCAGCTCAAGGCTAGCGCTCTACCACTTGAGCCACAGCGCCATTTCCGGCTTTTTTCTTTTTTTGCTTATGTGGTGCTGAGGAATCGAACCCAGGGCTTCAAGCATGCAAGGCAAGTGCTCTACCACTGAGCCACCTTCCCAGCCCTGCTTTGACCATATTCTTTACTCCCCCTCTTCCCTGTTGCTTGTTTTCTGCATGATGGCCATTCTGACTGGTGTGAGATGGAATCTTAGTGTAGTTTTGATTTGTATTTCCCTGGTGACTAAAGATGTTGAACACTTTTTAAATGGATTTCTTGTGATGTTCAGTTCATTTGCCCATTGTTTGATTGAGTGGCTTGCTCTTGGTGCTGTATTTTTTGATTCCTCGTGTATTCTGAATATTCATCACCTGTCACGTGAGTGGCTGGCAGATTTTCTCCCATTTTGTGTGCTGCCTCTTTACGCTCCCTTTCAGTGAGGAAATTTTGTGATTTGATGCAATCCTATTGATCCATTTTCTGGGCGGCCAGAGTCCTGTTTGGAAAGTCATGGCCTCTGCCATGACCCGGAAGTGCTTTCCTTAGTGGTTCCAGTTCTGGCGTTAAGGTCTTGGATCTATTTGGAGTTGGTTTTGCGCAGCCTGAGAGATCAGGGTCCAGTTTCAGTCCTCCACACATGGCTGTCTAGCTTTCCCACCACCGCGTTAAGAAGGCCATGTTTTCCGCTCCTGTGTTGAGATTTAGCCAGCAGTAGCTGTGTGGGTTTATTTTCGGTTCTCTTGCCTTGGCCTGTTTGTTTCCATGACCATGCTTGCCTGTAGCAGAGAAACACACCTCACAGAAAGAAGCCAGTTCCCATATGCATAACTGCAATGTGCCTGCTTGCTGCCCGCCATACCCATGGGCCAGCCCGGGAGCACTGCCAGGCGATGGTGAGCTGTTAAGAGGCTGTGTGTTTGGGGGGGGGGGAGTGTCTAAGCCGCCCCCACTGGCAGATGCTGGCTCCAGCCGGGAGTATTTGGTGTTTACATATTTAATGCCTTTTATCTCCAGAGGGAAGGTGTCTCATTAGCTTTTGACCAAAACTTACCTTTTTTTTTTTTTTTTTTTTTTTAAACTCTGCACCAAGCACCATTCAGTAAGCACTCATGGATGTAGTTCATCTTCTTCACAAGGGCTCTGTGAGGCTTACCAATGAAATGCAGACTCAGAGAAATGCCTGAAACCTGACTCTGGCTCTGCCACCACTTCTTCAAGCACGCTGCACCTTGCTTCCTGCGGCGGCGGTGTTCTGTCTTGCTAAGCACCTGTCTTCTCTCTTTATAACGAGTGCAATGTTTGTTTCTTGAGACAGGATCACGCCGTGTAGCCAGGCTGGCCTCTGAAGTCCTGGTGCCTCCTGCTGGAATTACCAGCTTCGGCAGCCCAGCAGGTCTGCCAAAGGCTAGAAAAGGCCCTGTGTTCTGGCTCACCGAGTGTGTCCGGGTGCAGCCTCACACGTGTCTCCTTCAGGGTCAATGCGTGTGTGGATGTGGTGCTCTCGGGAGTGAAGCTCCTGCAGGCGCTCGGCCTACGTTCCGGGAAAGGGAGAGATCATGCCGTGCTGCACTCCAGGAAGGATCTGGAAGAGGCCTTTGCCCACTTCATGGCACAGGGCGCGGCAGCCGAGCGCTTCTTCAGTGACCAGGAAGCCTTCCACACCATCGCCCAGGCTGCGTCCGAGTCCCCGGGAGCCCAGGTGGGTCACAGTGCTGTGGTGTGTCCTGGGGTAGGACTCTTGTGCCCCAGGCAGACAAGACACACGGAATCTGTATTGTGATCCCGCTCCCATTCCTCTCCCCTCCCTTCCGGGTCTCCTGTTCATGTTACCCAAACCCCATGGAGGAAGCCTGTGCTCCCGACCAGCTATAAAAAACAAATTGTAGTCATCTCAGTGTGGCTGCTGTAATCTTGCGTCCACCCTGAGTGGAAGCTGGCCATAGCCACAGAGAACTAGCCGTGGCCTCCTGTGCGGGGAGTGGTGGGCCTGCCCATAGTAGCATCCAGTACCAGAATGCTGGCATTCCCATGGGTGGTCCTGTGTGGCAGGGAGAGTGCCCCGCACCCCTCTGCAGCCCCACCCACCTGTGACGCCAAGCCCTTCCCAGACCTACAGTGTTAAGGGAGAGTCATATCCCCCTCCTGTTCCTCTCCTACCCCTACCTCTTCCTCTCCCTGTTAAGAACGCAGCCTGGGACTGGGAAGGTGGCTCAGTGGTAGAGCGCTTGCCTTGCACGCATGAAGCCCTGGGATTCCTCAGCACCACATATGCAGAAAAAAGAAAAAGCAGGAAGTGGTGCTGTGGCTCAAGTGGTAGAGCACTAGCCTTGAGCTGAAGAGCTCAGGGACAGCGCCCAGGCCCAGAGTTCAGCCCCCGCAACTGACCAAAAAAAAAGAACACAGCCTGGATGGTATGGTTCTTCCAACCTCCAGTCCACTTTCCAGAAAACCCCCGTTAAGTCTACACCCTGCTTTTTACTTCATTATTAAAAACTCAAGTGTATTACCATTTAACGCCTCGCTTCAGTGCCTTTTTCAAACTTCCTTAAACTGTACTAAAGGTTGCTTGATAAACCGGCTAATCACCATTCTATGAAAAATCTGATCACTATTTTTAGTAAATTGCCCTAGCCATCATAGTTACATGATCTGTTAGTTAATAGGCCCAGTTTGAACCTAACCATCAGAGGCAACTACACATCTACCTGTAGAGATCTGTTCCTGTCCCACCTGAATCCAGAGGTTTGGCCCCAAACTGTGGGACAGGACAGGAGCGAGGCCTAGCACCTCCCTTATTCCTCAGTCCCTGCCTCTGCAGGGCCAGGTACTAGGGACATAGCTACCTGGGGCCGCCTGCCCGTTAGGCTTAACTGTCTGCCTGAAACAGCCTTTCTGCACAGCTCTTGTGCGCAGCAGGCCAGGGCCTAGCGTAGAACTGCTCACCTTCCCCACAGCTGAAAAGAGGGTCGGGGTGGACATCCGCATGGGGTGCCAGGACCTTTAGAGCTGACTCCAAGCAAAATTCTTTGCCCTTGGCAACACATTTCGTCATAAAGTTGTGGACTAGGCCGATGTCAGACTGGCTTTGTGAATGGAGACACATGAGGCTTTGTCCAGGTCAAGGATGGAGAGGGGACAGTAGGGTGGGGCTGGCAAGCCTCATTTGAGAATTAGATATACAGGTCTCCAGGGATGAGACTGTGGGCCTAGAGGCACGGTCACTAGCCGGAGGCCAGTCTGGGCATATTACATCTTAGGGCCGAGGATGGAGCCCAGTGGTAGAGCACTTGTGCAACATGCACAATCCCCTGGGTTCAAGCCCCAGCACTGGAAGAAAAAATTCATTTTGAAGAGAGGTGATAAACTCATAGACTCATTTCAAGGAGTGCAATGCAGAATGGAAGACCTGGCCATAACTCCCATGTTTTCTGGGCTGTTCTGGCTGCCCAGTTTGATCTATAGTTAAGAGAATCCTGTTCTCACGGTTAGCGTGATTACTCTGTGTTTCCGTGTGGCCCTAACCTCACCCATGACCTTTGTTGTAAGGTGACCTCACTGTAAACTTTGGCATTTTGCTTGGGTCCTGTGGTCGCGTGGGGGGACTCAGGTCATGAACTGTCTTGCAGCACTACGTGGGAGGAAATGCAGCTTTGATTGGACAGAAGTTTGCGGCCAACACAGATCTGCAGGTAGGCCAACCTTGCTTTTCACCAGACGTCTCTGATCTTAGGAGTGAGAGGGTTGTGTCCTTGACTAAATTTCTGGCTCCCCTGTGATATGCTGAACCCTGGGCCTCTAGTAAGGAAGCTGTGTGTGGGTGTTCATACAAGGTGGGCAGTGCTGGCCCGGTGGTGTTTAGTTCTTCACACACCCACTAAGATGATGGACAGAGTTGATGGCAGGTTGTCATCGCTGCCTTTTCAGGAAGCTTGGGGGCCTGAAGATCAATGCAGAGCCTTTGCCCAGCATGTGCAGGGCCTCAGCGTGCGTGCGTGTGTGCGTGCATGCATGCATGCGTGCATGTGTGCATGTGTGTGTGTGCAATTTAGTAGCTCGATGGTGGGTGGTGAGTGATGGTGTGGACCTGGTAATTACTTTGGTTTTTTTGTGTTAGAACCTCAATCCTTGGGTAAACTCTACTTTATCATTGGATTCAATGTACTAAAACCTTGTTTAAAATTTTCACAGCAGTTTCCATGAGGGCTATTGATGAGCCTTTCTGGTTTTGCTGTCAGGGTAATACTGGCCTCCCGGAATGAGCTGGGAACTCATAGAATGAACTGAGCACTCTCCAACTTCTTCAGGGGATGCAGTATGCATCTTTAACTTATCATAATTGGCTTTCAGGCGATCGCTGAGTTCCTTGTGTGCTGTGAGAACTTTAGAGCCAGGTGTGGTGGCTCACGCCTGTAATCCTAGCTACTCAGGAGGCTGAGATTAGGAGGATTGAGATTGAGGTTCCAGGCCAACTGAGGCCTGGAAAGTTCTTGACTTACCTCAAAAAAAAAAAAAAAGCTAGACATGATGGTAGCACAGGACTGCCATCCAGTCTGAACTGGAAGTGTAAGTAGGGTCGAGGTCCAGGCTGGCCAGGCAAATAAGTGAGACTCTGTTGGAAAATAATGGAAGTATATCTTTCACTTACCAGAATTAACCTTTCTGATGCCCTTCCTTCATTTGGATTCCTGTGTCCAGCCGGTGCCTTTCTTTATTGCTTGGTGGTACCGGGCTTTGCACCCAGGGCCTCCTACTCCCCTCCAAACCAGGTCCTCATCTGTGGTGTTATCTGAGCCGTGTCTGAAGGGCTTCCTTCAAGGCTGCTGGTGATGCACTGACTTCGATTTCATGCATGTGGGAACTCTCCTCAGGATTCTGGGTCTTCCATGTCTTCCTGGGCTTATTTATGTTTTGTAGGCAGTTGGGCTTGGCTTCACATCCAGGTGTTCAGAGACTAGCGTTTCATAGTTTGTTTGGACGTTTTGTGAGACGTTACTATGGAAGTAAAATTCTAGCCAAAGATTAGAGAGAGGAAGTAATTGGCAAGTGATGGCCTGTCACTGCTCTCCATGGGCCCATGCACGCACACACCCATGTCTTGTGAGGTCTCCAGTTCTCTGACTGGGACTACACTATTAGCATCTTCTTTAACCTCCTCAAAGTCCGTCTGCAGATGCCAGCACATCCAGACCTCGGCATGTGAACTGCGAACAGACATTGGCTCCAGGACAGCCAGCATGGCTGTCGCACTTCCCTGGGTGTGGCTGTGACTTTGATCATGGCTCTTCTCCTTTCTGATACATTATGGCCCAACTCCTCTGCACCATGTTCCTCCAAACCAGAACTAAACTGACACTAGATCAGATTTCTGTATTTTCTTGGAGTGAACGTTCCTTGCCAGTGACTGTTGAGACCCTGTCGGGGATGGGGGTGAGGGGTGCCAGGGAAAGGCCCGGTCTACCGCATTGACTCCGTGTCCCTCATGTCTAGGTTCTTCTCTGCGGCCCAGTTGGCCCAAAGCTGCACGAACTCCTTGATGACAACATATTTGTCCCACCCGAGTCGCTGCAGGAAGTGGATGAGTTCCACCTCATCTTGGAGTACCAAGCGGGTAAGGGAAGTGGTTAGATGTTGGCGGCGGGAGCCTCTGCCTGGCGCCCTGGTCTGTGAAGTGGTTAGGAGACGGCGTGGAAGAGTTCTTGGTGTTCTTAGAATTGCTCTGGCCCGTGGGGAGGGGTGGGCTCAGGGAAGCTGGCATCTTGAGTAGAAGTAAGAGTGTTAAACACTTTCATGAGGTTCTTCTTTGTGACTAGGAACAGAGAAGGGCAGATCACCCAGGCTGGGCCTGCCTGGTGCTCCCGGGCTTTTCTGACCACCTCCCCTGGGCTTCTTGGATTGGTCCAGGCCTCTGGGGGCCATCTTGGAAGCATCACTCACGTGATTTCCCATTTCATAGTGTTTTGGGGTTTACAAGTCCAGATTAACACTCTCTAATCCCCCTAAAGACGAGGCCCAATTTCTATAAGAATCTTGAATACCTGCGCGCGCTTGTTTCCAAGTGTTTCTGGCTGCTTCTTTTCTTCTGTTTGGGACTGAGATTGAACATTAGAGGGCCAAGCACCCGGCTGTCCAGTGGACACACACATCAGGTCTGACTGTAGCGAGCTATATCCAGATCAGAGGAGAGCTACAGCCCCAGGAGTAATTAGCCTCGGGTGAGTTAGACCTCATCCCAAGCCCTGGCAGGGAATTGCTGGTTATCCAAGTTCTCCTGGGTGTCCCCAGAATCTGCTGGGCATTTAGGTGAATCCTGCAGCAGCAGGCATTCACAGCTGATGGCACCCACGTGTGTGACCCTTCCCCCCCTGCACACCATGTGGGGATGGAGCCCTGCAAGCTGTGTGCACAGCAGGGCAGCCTCTTGACTGGAGTGGTGTGGCTAGCTCAGACGTGCTCCTGGTTCCCGATCTGACTCCATTCATCCTGGGTGTTGTGTATGGACAGCAGTGGCTCCTCTGGGGTCTCCAGTCCTTGCCAAAGGGCCTTGCCCATCCTCACACTTGAACTGAGAGCCAGTCACAAGCCACTTTTGCTGGCTGAAGGCAGAGAGGAGGCCTTGCTTACAGGAATGAGAAGAGCTTTGTGAGAAGGGGCAGTAGCAGCTCCCGCAGGCCCAGCCCGGCCTCTCGCTGGCCGCTCCATCCGTCCTGTGTCTACACCACGCACTCTGCCCTTCCCCGCTTGCCCTGCAGCCTGTGTTTGTCTCTGTCACTCCTGATGAAGTTGGCCTCTGGAATGCTGCGTGGCTATGTCTCCCGGGTGTGTGGCCTGCTCTGTGGGAATTTCCGTGGGGGCATGTTCCTGCTCCTGAGGCTTGGAGCTGATTCTGTGTTTGTTGTGGTCACTGCAGTCTGCTGGGTGCGGTGCAGCGTGGTGCAGTGACAGAAACGGCCCCAACTCCACCCTCAGACCTCCAGTGGATGGGCAGTTAGTGCCAAACCATGTGCCTCACCCTGGGATGGTGCAGGCGGCTGTGGAGTCCACCTGGGCGGGCCCGGAGTCCAGGGAGGAGGCGTCAATTTCCCAGATCTCACACACAGGTGGCTGGAGCAAGACATTTCTCTCCCTTGGGGTCAGGTGCCCCAGGGTCAGCAGAAGTGCGGGCAGATTGACCCTTGAGAATTCTGTGCTTAGATTCCAAGCACAGTGGAAAATCCAGCCTGGCTGGCCCACGGCCAGCATCCCAGCTGAGAGCTCAGTGGGTGGCAGAATGAACTTTCCTGAACCCAGTGGGAGCCAGTGACCTTGCAAAGGGCCTATGAGGCCCTTACCTTGATTGCTCCCTGCTCGGATTTGGGTTCTGGCTCTGGGTTGAGACCAGTGGCTTAGTCAGGCACAGGCCCAGCCACGACTCCAGGGGGAGCCCCCAGCCCGAGACTGAATGCCTCTTCCTTTCTGCCCGCTGTGTCAACTGGGCTTTTCCAGGGGAGGAATGGGGCCCGTTTAAAGCTCCCCATGCCAGCCGCTTCATCTTCTCGCACGACCTCTCCAACGGGGCCATGAATGCGCTGGAGGTGTTTGTGTCCAGCCTGGAGGAGTTCCGGCCCGACCTGGTGGTCCTCTCGGGTCTGCACATGCTGGCGGGACGTGGCGAGGAGCTGCAGAGGAAGAGACTCCTGGAGGTAAAAGCTCGCTTCTCCTCAGGCTCCCTCCTCTCAGCTTCCAGCTCAGGCTGTCTCACCTTGCCTTGGGTCCTGGCCTCTGGGACACAGCCTGGCAGCGGCTGGGCAGGGCAGGGAGTCCACTGAGCCTCTGTGTGCTACGCCAGGTATGGGCTGGAGCTTGTGTCCTGTGTCACTGTGCCCTCGGCTCTGTGTGGGTCCCCAGGCAGTCTGTGTCCTCTGATTCCATGCACTGGCTTGCTTGCTGTAGATCATGGTTTTCTGTTGGGAAAGGTAGCCTTGTCCGTAAATGCGGTCGGGCGCGCCACACTACCGTGGCTAGTGTCCAAGCTGCTCCAAACCTAATTCTGGCTTTCCTCTTGGCCACCTTCACGCTGTGCTGTCTTCCTCTCTTCACAGGTTGTGAACTCTCTCTCTGACATCCCTGCTGGTGTTCCTGTTCACCTTGAGTTGGCCAGCATGACGGACAGGGAGCTCATGCGCAGCGTCGTGCACCAGGTAACCATGGACAGACCACACCGGGCTCCTCTGGCTTGCTGAGTCGTGGTTAAGTGCCACTCAGACCTGGGGCCAAGGGGAGCCAGGAGAGGGGTTTGTAGTGCAACCAGGTCTCTGGCCAAGTAATTGAGGCCTGTCTGCATCTGGGAAGCAGAAAGGAACAGATTCTGCAGAACTCAGAAAACAGAGAGTACAGTTGAATCTAGAGGCAGAAATCTGCTCAGAAGGTGTGCAGCCTGTGTCCCTGCTCTGTGCTGCTCCAACTGGTGCCCTGTGCTTGAGCCACGCCTCCAGCTCCACATGAGCTCTTCTTGACCCACAGCTACAGGAGACTCACTCTCTTGTCACCCCAGCCATGATGGGAAGCCTGAAATAGGTGGATAGGAGACCAGGCACGCCCCCAAGTGAAAAGCAAGGCCCTACTGTAGAAACCGTCAGCACAAACAAGAGCTGCATATGTGACTGAAGTGGGGAGAGTACAAGAGTTCAAATGCCAGTGCTGCTAAAACAAAACCACAAAGAAGGGGGGGACCCTGGGCGAACTTTTGGGTACGATTGTCCCCCCCCCACACACACACTAGGAGCCCTCTAGGGGTTCATCTCCTCTGGACCCAGTGAGCAGGACACAGCAAGAGCCTGGGACCCTGGCTAACCCATGCTGACCACTCACTAGCTCTGAACTTCAGACTGGAGAAGATGCCCGGTGCAGCCCCACCCAAGCTGGGAGATCCTTGCTGGTGACAGTGCTTGGACTTGACAGATGCGGAGTCTGTCCTTTCTGTCCCTTTTTATCCAGAAGTGCTTCCCCAGGGCGCTTCGCACTCTGGAGGCAGGGTCCTGGGTGGGGCGTGGCTTGTCTTTGGCCAGGAACGTGCAGGGACATGCATTGGGCCACTTAGCTCTTCTTCTCTCTGTCTCCAAGAAAGCATAAGTTTGAGGTCGTCCACCATGGCTGATACACCAGTTTCCTTTCCACCAGTGGATTTATGAGTACTTCCTTATCCTTGCTCCCAGAGTATGATTTAATATTGACATTTGTATGATTCTGGTGCTTTAATACCATCCCACACTCCCTTTTATGTCAAAACTGAGTAGGCTACAGAGTTCACATACACTCTGAACTCCAACTCCCAATAGGCACAAGGCTAGCCGCCCACCCCACCCTCCCCAGGGGCTGCTGTGAGGGCCTGCATGGATGCTTCGCTGGCCCGCAGAGCCGGCCATCTGCAATTGGCTTCATGCTCAGTGTTTCGTGTGTAGTTCTCTTTTTGAGGTTAAATAATTTCTTGCTTTAAAAAAGTGGGGGAGGGCCGGGCGCTGGTGGCTCACGCCTGTAATCCTAGCTACTCAGGAGGCTGAGATCTGAGGATCGCGGTTCAAAGCCAGCCCGGGCAGGAGAGACTGTGAGACTTATCTCCAATAAACCATCAGAAAACCGGAAGTGGCGCTGTAGCTCAAGTGGTAGAGCGCTCGCCTTGAGCTGAAGAGCTGAGGGACAGCGCCCAGGCCCAGAGTTCAAGCCCCACGACCGACAAAAAAAAAAAAAAAAATGGGGGAGGGAGTGCTCGGATGGTGGCTCAGTGGTAGAGTGCTTTCCTCTCATGCATGAGGCCTTGGGTTCAATGCCTTAGCAACACATAAGCAGAAAAAGCCAGAAGTGGCGCTGTGGCTCAAGTGGTAGAGCGCTAGCCTTGAACTGAAGAGCTGAGGGACAGCGCCCAGGCCCAGAGTTCAGGCCCCACAACTGACAAAAAAAATGGGAGGGAATGAGGGAATATTTTTATGTCGTTTTCCTTAAGAGGTTATTTAGTCTTTGGGATCTTGGCCTGTAAACTGAAGGCAGTCCACTTCCCTGCAATAACAGCGTAGGGCAGGCCCCGGCCTTGCACGGTCCTCCACTGGCTCTGAACGGGAGGTGCTTAGTAAGAAAGACAGTGAGGTAGAAGGTGATAGCTCCCATAAGGGAACATGGGCTCAGCCAGACCTGGTGGGTCACGCTTATAATCCCAGGCAAAGGCAGGAGGATCAGAGTTTCAGGCCAGTCTGGGCAAAGTTAGCAAGACCTGAACTCAAAAGCAAAAGGACAGGGCATGAGCCCGGTGCTGGTGGCTCACACCTGTAATACTAGCTACTCTCAGGAGGCTGAGCTCTAAGGATCATGGTTCAAAGCCAGCCCGGACAGGAACGCCCGTGAGACTTAACCTCTAACTACCCAACGGAAAGCCTCAGTGGAACTGTGGCTTAGAATGGTAGAGGGCTTAGAGTGCTAGCCTTGAGCAAAAGAGCTCAGGGATAGCACCCAGGCCCCAAGTTCAAGCCCCACAACCAAAAAAAAAAAGACAGGGTGTGGCTCGTGTTAGAACACTTACCTGACCTGTGCAAAGGCCCTGTGCTCCATCTCCAGCACCACAGAATGAAGGAAGAAGTGGACTCAATGGCTCCTGTCCACTTTCTCACTTAGTGCCACCCCTCAGCACCGGCATCTCCAGGCTGCTGCTTGGTGTCAGACACCCACAACCACTGTGACTGCGCGGTGCATAGGTTCTGTCCAGGTGACCAGCATCATGGCTGCCAGCATCAGAGGCCAGCCCCGGGGCTGAGAGTGTCCAGGCAGTTCTGTCCTTGATCGTGGCAGTGGGAAGGTTAGTCACAGCTGACACTGACCATAGGAAACAGACTCAAGGACAAAAGGAGGAGCCGGGCTAGCACCGGCGCTGGGAGGTGGCTGCCAGAGAGAGACGTGTCCCTCTTTCTGCCAGCAGGTCTTTCCTGCTGTGACATCCCTGGGGCTGAATGAGCAGGAGCTGCTGTTTCTGAGCCAGGCAGTGTCGGGCCCTCACGCTGGCATCTCTTCCTGGGACGGCGTCCCCGACGTGGGCATGGTCAGCGACATCCTCTTCTGGATCTTGAAAGAACACGGGCGGAGTGAGAGCAGAGCCTCGGACCTCACGCGCGTCCATTTCCACACGCTGGCCTACCACATCCTGGCCACTGTGGATGGACACTGGGCCAACCAGCTTGCCGCCGTGGCGGCAGGAGCTCGCGTGGCAGGGACACAGGCTTGCGCCACCGAAGCCATAGACACCAGCCGGGTGACTCTGAGGGCCCCCCAGGAGTTCATGACGTCGCACTCGGAGGTAGGCACCAGGGTGGTGTTGGACCCCAGCAAACCAGTGGAGCAGTGGCACCGGGGCGGGGTGACCTTCCACTTCACGCCTGTGCTGGTGTGCAAAGACCCCGTGCGAACCGTGGGCCTGGGGGATGCCATCTCAGCAGAAGGACTCTTCTACTCCGAAGCACATTTGGCCACGGGGTTTGAGTGAGGACCACAGGTCAGGGAGAATTCAGGAAGCGGCCTGTGGGTATCAGAAGGTTCCAGGGCCAGCTGGAAGACAGCCAAAGAAACCACAGCAGATTGTGCTCCGCTGTAAACCGATACATTCCAGCCTGCAGGGATCGCGTAAACGCACTTGCTCATCCAGCGCTGGCTGTCTGCTAAGGAGACTGCATTTCTGTTTTCTGTGTTACATGTTACATGGGGAAAACCTCAGCTCCCAAACTGTCCCTTTCTATAGCACCATCAAGAATCCAAAGCCCAAGTTCTTCACCCCAGGAGTGCCCGATGGGAGAGTGCAGGCCCTCCACAGCTGCGGGCCACGCTCTGGGTGCAGCAGAGGCCAAGGATGGCTGAGCTGCTGGGCCCAAGGCCCGGGCAGCCTGCCACTTCTGCCTCCATCCCCCAGGCCCACCTCACCCAGCTCTGATGTGCGGCCTCTGAGCCCTGCAGACTTGCTGACAACTGGAATGTGCTGCTGCGGGCAGCAGAGCACGGGTTTATGCTCTGACATACCCCTCAGGCGCTCGACCTCACAAAGCCCCAGGATCATGAATAAGTGTGTCATGTATTTATTATTTTTTTTTAATAAAACAAGACTTCTGTGTGCTTCTAAAAATACTAAAAACAATCCCATGTCTTTCTGATTCTCTGGGCTGACCTTGTGAGGGGTTTTGTCTGAACTGGACATCTGTAGTTCAAGTGGCCATGGTGAAGTTGAGTTGGAGCACTGCACGGATGAGCGCGAGCTGGTGGGGTGACCGTGGGTAGCCAGCTTCTCACACCGGGCCCCCAGCAGTTTCTGGAATCACAAAGCAACCTCAAGTGTTCTGCTCTTGACCTTCCTTCCCCCACAGTTTAGGTAAGGAATGTTGATTACTCTTCCTCTAAAGAGACAACCAGCTCAGAACCATGCTAGTTGCAACTGGAAATAGCACCATATCCACTCCACCTCTGCGTTCTGTGAACAGGAATCAGCTTTCTACTAGAAGAGCGTAGAGGAACTTTTTTGCTGTTTTCTTTTTGTTCCTTTATGTCTTTGGAATGTAAGGGGAGTCACAGAAATGGAGGGACAAGGCGGGAACAAACTTAGCAATGGTACTTAGACACTGCTGAACGTGAAAAGCTTATGTGAGATTCCTGTTTTCCCTTTCTAAATCTTTCAAACCTAGAGAGATGGGTCTGTGGTGGTGCGCTCTGCATACCATCTTCCGCTCGAGGCGTTGGCAAGCAGTGACAGTAGTTTGGGAAGTTTCATCGGTTTTACTTCTGTTTTGCCCTCAGTCATGCTGGGGATTAACCCTGGGGCCTCAAGGCACATAGCAATCGCTGTACTTGACTCTGAGCCTTAATCATTAATCTTGTTGAGATGAAAAGTATCCAGGGGTGACACAGGATAAGGTAAGTATTGCTGAGTAGTGTTTTATAAAGTGAGTGGACTCTGCAGAATATCTGGCAATGCCCCAGAAGGGATGAAGATAGAGGTCCTGCCAACCCTTTGCTTTCAACCATTGAGAAAGGCTTCCATATGTCGAGAGAAGTTGCTAGAAGTCTTAGAAACTTGCTGCTCTCGCCCCAAAGTGACTTTTAACAGCCTGGGAAATGCTGCAACATGAAACACCAATCAAAGGTAAGAAGCATGCATCGCAGACTCAGGACTCCTCCAGTGTGCATGCTTGTGCCTCAGATGTGGAGGGTGAGTGGGAACGGGGCGAGGATGGCAAGTGTGTGGTAGTGGGCAACTTAACCCTTGCTTGCCCCCTTTCACTGCACCTGCTCCCACAGGACTGGTGACTAAAGTCAACTGCCACCGAGGGTGATCAGCAAAGTATGCAGCACTTAATTTAAGAATTAAGAGTCTAATAATTATATTAGCACTAAGCTAAACAGAGCTTCTGGGTCTCAGGAAGACTATTTTAAGTCATTTGAAAGCTATTAAAATAACTTTTTACTTTTTTGTCTTTAGGCAAAAAAAACAAGGTCTGAAACTACAGATTTTAAGTGTACTATTTGGCAAGTTTGGCAAACATATCTCCATACCTCTCTAACCCAAATGCCAAATAGAAACTATCTCTACTACCTTCGGCAAAGCCATCCCAGCCCTCTACCCTGACCCCTGGAGCAGCACCATTTTTTTCACCGTAAGTTAGCTTTTGCCTGTTGTGGACTGCAAATGGGGACGTTCAGTATTTGATCCTCGTCCATGTTTCTTCACAGCTGTTTTTTTTTTTTAAAATTTTAATTGTTACTATAAAGGTGATGTACAGGGGCATTACAATTACATGAGTCAGATGAGTAAATTTCCTTTTGCGGTGTCTTCTGTTCCCTCTCAGTCCCTTCCTCCCGTTTCTACCCACAAATTCTATCAATGTCTAGTGAACTCCACTGCTGTTCTTTTCACCCTTTTTCTCAAGTTCTGTACCCTCTCCAATCCTTCTGAAGATGTACACTTGAATACACCATATATAAGGTAAATAAAACAATCATTAGAAACTGAAAACTAACCTTGTTTCAGTATCCTGGAGTTGTAGGTCTGTATTTTGTATATAAATTGTGCCTTTGTGCTTCTCTCCTAAGAGTATCCTCTTCTGGTCTCACCAGATGTAGCTGGAATCCTGCATACTTTGTCACATCCCAGTGTCGTCTAGATCTAATGTCCACATATCAGAGAGAACAAGGGCCGTTTCTCTCTGAGCGTGGCTTACCTCACTTAACATGGTTTGTTCTTGGGCTGGGAAGGTGGCTCAGTGTACAATGCTTGCCTTGCATACATGAGGCCCTGAGTTCGATCCTTCAGCACCACATAAGGAGAAAAAGCCGGAAGTGGTGCTGTGGCTGAAATGGTAGAGCTTTGAACTGAAGAGCTGAGGGACAGCGCCCAGGCCCAGAGTTCAGGCCCCACGACCAACAAAAAAGAAAAAGAAAAACATGGTTTGTGCTAATTCCATTCATTTTCCTGCAAATAACATTATTCTAATGACTCCAAAATTCCATTGTGTATAGGTACCACATTTTTTTGGATCCACTCATCTATTGTAGCATCTGGGTTATTCCCATTTCTTGGCTATTGTGAATAGTGTGGCAGTGAACATGGATGTGCAGGTGTCTTTATCTAATCTCTTGGTTCATGATGTTCAGGGTAGATCCCCAGGAGTGGTATAGTTGGGTTGTAGGGAAGGTCTGTTTCAATTTTTGAGGAACTTCCAGACTGCTGTTCACAGTGGTTGTACTAGTTTATATTCCCACCAACAGTGCAATAGCGTTCCTTTTTCCTACATCCCTGCCAACTTTTTTTTTTTTAATTTTTATTGTGAAAATACCATACAGAGGGGTTACAATTACATGGGCAGTCTGCCAACATTTGTTGTTCAAATTCATGTTGTTGACTAATCTAATGGGTGAGATGGAATCTCGAGTTGTTTTGTGCCAGGGATGATGAGCATTTCCTCATGTGTGTCTTTGCCATTCTAACTTCCGTTAAGTCTCTCCTTAGCTCCCTTGCCCATTTGGTGATTGGTTTATTAGCTTTGGGAGGGGTTAAGTTTTTTGAGCTCCTTGTATATATGGGATGCTAGGTCTTTGTCTGATACATTTTTGGTAAAAATGTTCTTCCAATCTGTTGGCTGTCTTTCTAGTTTAGTAACTATATCCTTAGCTGTGCAGAAACTTTTTTGTTGTTGCTTGAACTCAGGACCTGGGAGTTGCCTCTGAGTTCTTTTTCGCAAGTTTAGCACTCTACCATTTTGAGCCACAATGCCACTTCCAGTTTTCTGGTGGTCATTTGGAGGTAAGTCTTCCTGCTCTAGCTGGCTTGGAACCACGATCCTCAGATACCAGCCTCCTGCCTAGCTAGAATTACAGGCATGAAACTTTATTTGGATGTATTCCCACTTGTCAAGTCTCTCTGCTTTCTGTTGTGCCCCTGGGACTCTTCAAGAAGATTCTACCTGTAAGTTCTAATGTTTCTTCCTACTCTATCTAGTGACCCACCAGGGATTCAATCTTAGGTTTTCTGCATGTGGCTGCCCAGTTTTCCCAACACCAACTATTGAAGAGGCTATTTTTTTTCTCCACCATTACAGCCATTTTTGTTGCTTAATACTATCCCATCAACACAGGTTAGCGTGGGGCTTCTGCAAAGGAAGCTGATGTCCATTGTCATTTCTCTTAGCCATACAACTGTGGATGGAAGATTTTTCCAAAGGTTGGATCATTTTATACTACTGTATACCAGTGCTATGGCGATTCTGATAGTGCCTTATTTGTGCCAACACGTGGGTGTGTTTTTAGTAATTTTGACACGCATGTATTCTATCGTGATGGAGAATTTACTCACGTACTTAATGGCTATTCATGTATCTTTGTGAAGTATGCAACTCTGGCACATTTCTTTTTGTTGGTATTAGTTGAGTCTTAATTATTGAGCTTTAAGATTTCTTGACCAGACATGGTACTTTCTTCAAGTCTGTCACTTGATTACCATTGTCTCAGTGTCATGATGGTCCCCTTTGCCCTGCCTGTCATACATTCAGCCTCATTTCCTTTAATGCACTCTGCAGCTTGCCTTTGTGTACAGTATTAGTTAGGGTCAGGAGGTTTTGTTCAGAGCCTCCTGCTTGCTGGGCAGGTGCTTTGCCACTTGAGTCACACAGCCCCACAATGCTTTGCCCCAAGGCAACCCTGAATTGTGTCATTCTACTTTGTCCTTCCAAAGAGCTGAGATTGCAGGCATAAGCCACCATACATGGCCCCAGATTTGTTTCCTTTACAGAATTTGTATATGTTGTATACAAGTCTTGACATGCATTTACACTGGGATGAATGGCCCACAGCTGGGATTACGCTGTGGAGCCATGGTAGCTGACACACATTTGCATTCTTGCTGTTTCTCATGCCTTCGTGCACCTCACCTTTTGGCTAGGAATTTGAGCTGCAGATTTGTGCACAGTAATAGAATGTCTGTCAGCTTCTTTCCGGAAATACCAAGGAGTCAGATGGCTAAAGGTGGTAAATGTGCCAAGGCGACTCTCACCAGTGTCTGGTGGCATCACCATTCTGGATTTTGATCATTCTAATTAGTGCACATTGTCTTTCTTTTCTTTTTTTTTTTTTGGTTGGTTGTAGGGCTTGAACTCTGGGCCTGGGTGCTGTCCCTCAGCTCATCAGCTCAAGGCTAGCACTCTACCACTTGAGCCACAGCGCCACTTCCAGCTTTTTCTGTTTATGTAGTGCTGAGGAATTGAACCAGGGCTTCATGCATGCAAGGCAAGTACTCTACCACTGAGCCACCTTCCCAGCCCCGGTAAGTATGCTTAGTCACCATCTGTGTGCCTTCTTTGGTGGGTGAAGTTGTGGCTTGCTGTGTAGTCTAGAACAGCCTCAGACTCCTGCCTCACGTCAGTCACTCAAGTGCTGGAATTAAAGATGTGTGCAGTATGCCTGGGTCATTGGTCTGATTTCAATCTGGTTGTATTCATGTATCTCAAGATAATAATCCTCTATCAGGTAAGTCTCTTGAATGATAGCATTTCTAAAATGGCCTTTTCTGGTCTATTGAAATCATGACTTCTCTTTTGAATGCAGGAGAGTGTCAGTGTTTAAGTATAAGCCAAGCTTCAAGTTGAGCTAACTCAATGGGGCATGATGTAGCATTCTGCAGCATGCTCTCTCCTGCCCATGCAGGTCATGCTCTGTAGTTTTGTCAGGATGTTCTGACCTGATACCAATAACTAGTAAATTCTCTAATTTTCTGAAATTTTTCATGAGGTAAAGTTTATTTTGTGCCTTGATAGAATGTGTCTATGAAATAACTTGATTTATAAATTCAGTTGTAAGGCCTGTGAGAAGGGAGGGTTTTGGTCCAGTCCTAGGGCCTGGGCGCCATCCCTAAGCTTTTTACACTCAAGGCTACTGTTCTAACACTTGAGCCACAGCTCTACTTCCAGCTTTTTGGTAGTTAACTGGAGATTTAAACTATAATCCTCAGATTTCATTCAGCCTCCTGAGTTGCTAGGATTATAAGTATGAGCCTGTGAAAGTTTTACCTTTCATTCGTTTTTCAAAGTTTTCATGTTTTTTACACCTTAAGTTGTACAATTTTATCCTGATATTCCCTTACATTTTGTGTCTGTAGTCTGTAATACTGTGTGTCCTCTTTCATCTAGTACTAAGTCATACATTCTCTCACTCTCAGATTTGCCCCTTTTTTCAGACTGAATTTCAGACTAAATTTGTCTGATCTTACCCTTTTTCAAAGTAAGGGAAAGACATACACATTTCCTTTAAGCACTGCATTAAGCCAGATTATGTACACTTTCATTGTCATTCAGTTCAAAATGTTTTCTCATTTCACCCTTAAGTTCTGAGTTGTTACAAGTTAATTTCCAAACATTTGAGGGGTGATTAATTTCTAACATAACATATTCAACTCTATCTCTTACAACTTTGATCTGTGTAGGCTCTAGTTCGGTGTCATCGTCCCGGCTTCTCTTCTGACTTTCAAGGCCCACTTTATACCCAGCATATGGTCTGCTTGGCTGAACACAGTGTGTTGTGGAATGTGGCAGGACCCTTGCCCAGCAAGGACTATGCCTTTGCCAGACTCGACCTCCAACTTCTTCCTTCAGTTTCAAACTAGGTTTGGAAACAGGTAAGACAGTGATCATATTTGTTTTTTTAAAAAACGTTTTTAATGTGGCCTCTTATTTTGTATGCCTGTGGAATGATACATAATCTTTAAAAAGAACATAGCATATGGTCAGTAGTAGTTATCGTTGATTATCATACATTAATATTCCTTAGAAGCTTTTCCTTAAAAAAAAAAATCCCTGGTGCCAGTACCAGGCCATCCCTTACCTCCTGCTTGCTTCTTGCATTGACATGATCTGACTCTGGCCTCTCACAGTTCTAGACATCCTGTGGGCCTGGGGTTTCTGCTGCGAGGTTTGGGTTTGCCGTGGGGACTAGCCCAGGCTGCTGAGCAGAGGTCCGTCTTCCCTTGCACAAAGGAAGGGCTCAGTGGGCCAGGAGATAAAAGTGCTTTATTGAGTGATGGCCTTCGCATCATGGGCCTTGGCTGGCTCTTGGGAGCCATAGGCAGACTCTCCGACTCTTGAAGGACTATGAGGCTGTCTTCTCCCTACTTCCTAGATAATGGGGCTTTCCAGTGCCTGCAAAAGCCTGAGCTCCTCCTCATCATCACAACACAGCCCGACTTGTGTTTAATTCTGTGGTGCTCACCCTGAGAGCGGTGCTGGTATCCACTTTCTGGTCATATGACCTTCCTTAATCCCAAGAGACTACTCCAGGGCCATCCTATTCTGACCCTGCTTTTTTCTCTTACTTGTTTCTATTTTTCTCTTCTTTGTCCTGCTGCTTCCATCATGGGCTCTGGCTCCAGAGGAAGCGATGGTGGCTTTGTGAATTGAGCTGTTCTTCCAACACCTAGTGACAAAGCAAAGAACTTCAGTTCCAGAAATGACCATGTTTCTTTCTGTTAAGTTTCTGTGAACCTAGCAGGGCAGCTGCAGGGTAGTGATGCCCCCAACTACAGAAATGCTAGACAGGCATGTCTGCCCACAGCCATCATTGACATCTTTAGTGACTCACAACAGAACGCCCACACAGCAGAAAATACCTTGCGATGCTATGAAGACCCTGTGCACGGACCGTCCAACTATGCCAGGTTGCCATCCCAAGCTTCTTCCCCTCCTGGCTTCAGCAGGCCATAATTGAAGTCTTGACAAATCCAAGTCTTAAAGCTGGCCCTGGAGCTATTTACCCTCTTACCTGAAGGAATCTTCCTGTAGGCTGCTACTGAAGACATTGCCTGTCCTAGAGCTTGATTGGAGCCCAGAGGCTTCTGCAGCGTGGCAGGTTTGCCAGCAGACACTGTCCGGTGCTTCGACTTAGGCTCTTTCAGTGGTTTAGTCCAGACCAGTGCTTCCCCAACCTGGAGAGCAGCTCCCAACTTCTGAGCCATCTCTACCATCTTGCATCCAGTGGGAAGGAGAAAGAATCACATGCAAGACCAGCAGAGAAGCCGCCCTCCTCCTCCTGTGACTCTCACCAAGCACAGGGCTTGAGCTGAAATGCTGTCTGCTGCCATTTGAGGAAGGACACACTCATTGCAAGGAACCCTCTCCAAATAGCAGACACTACAGACTGCCCCTAGCGGTGACAAGGGAGATTGACTCAGGTCTGACCTACTGTGTTCAATTCTGCCTTTCCCTACAAAGTGACAGGGAGCCGCAGGAGGAGCTTGGTCCCAGTCAACATAAAGCAGTAGCAGTAACAATTCAGTAAGTCTAAACGTCCTTTCACTATTGTTTTCTTCTAGGGGGGGTTAGGATGTAACTAATGGATGAACTCATGTGCAAGGAAGATCAAAGCCCAAAGAGGTTGTGCCTGTATTTGGATTACTTGACTTGATAATAAAAGACATACCTCAGGGTCAAAGTCCAGGGAGCTGTTCTCCTTGAGAAAGCTGACCTTCTTCTCCATCTCCTGATACTGGGCCAGGGCACCTTTCCTCTCACCTTGATTGTACAGCAGCACGGCATAGTTGAGGTTTACTAAAGGGTTACACCTGTGGCACACGGGGACTCTGAGGCAACCCCTGCTCACTGGCAGATCGTCCTCATCACACAAAAGAAAACGAGTTGAGATGCATCAACAATGCTGTATGGGAAGGAATTGAAGCCCAGCCAGCACAGCAGATAGTGAGACCAAGACTACCTGGGCAGGTTGAAAAGGGAACCCTACCCTGCTATAGTGGAGACCAGAGGAACAAATCCCAAGGAGCCACTTTTATTAAGGTTAAGCTGAGCCTGGCACCAGTAATCCTAGAGGCTGACATCTGAGGATCGCAGTTTGAGGCCAGCCCAGGCAGAAAAGTCCATGAGACTCTAAACTACTCAGAAAACATAAGCAGTGCTATGGCTCAAAGTGGTAGAGCACTAGCCTTGAGCGAAAAACTTACAAAATAGCACCTAGGCCCTGAATTTAAGCCCCACAATGGACAGAATAGCAAAAATACTAACAAAAATACTAAGCCACGTCTGGCATGATAGTTGACCCATGGCTTGTCTGCAGCCCAAGCCTACTTCCCACTGACTTCCTAATTCCTAAACTCAGACTGGAAATGCATTTTCCCATTAATCCTTTGCTTAGGAACTGCGTAGTCCACCCACAGGCCATGGAGGAAGGCGGGCTGACTGGACACCAACCCTCCCTGGCACAGCCCCACAGCACGCACTTATCCAGTTGCACGGCCTCCGCATAGGCTCTCTTGGCATTTTCAATGTCTTCCAGGTTGGTCAGGGCCACTGCGACAAGGGGAATGAAGCAGCTCAGCTTGGAAGCAGAAATGAATGCTGGCACTATCATGTGGGCACTGCCACCCCACCCCCACCCCCGTAGATACTTCTCTCCAGTAATTCACTGCCACATTCTGTGCAGTGGTTTCCCAGCTTCTTTCCCCTGCCAGGCTTTCCATTGTGAAGCTGCCCTGGTGCAGTGTGCCTAGCTAGGCAGAGCCAGAAGCCCCGGACTTTTATCTTGCCCAGGCTGCTCTCAAACCACAGTCCCAACAATCTCAGCCTTCTCAGTAGCTAAGGTCACACATGTGAGCTGCCAGTGCCCAACTCCATTCCTCTCCTTTCAATGTATATTTCATGGAAGCTGATTAATGCACCCACTCCTACCAGGCCCCTATGAGGGAAGCCAGAAACAGTAGTATAGCTGCTACCATTTCTCTAGACTTAGCAGCGCTCACCTGCTCCTTTCTCTTCTAGTTCCTGGCTTGAGATGGAACTGCCTGGGACCCAGAGTGTTACAGTAACCAAACACTGTTAGTAATAGGCCACTTACAAACCAACCAAGAGCCCGAGGACTTGGTCATCTTTTTCTAAGTCATGTTGCTAGGGGACCCACAAAGGAATGGCTTCCGAGGTGCCTCGCTTGTCTTCCCCTCATTACAGACCCCGTGGAGATTTCTTACCAGCCAGAAGCATGTACAGTTCCCCCATCCTGGGCTGGAAGTTGATGGCTGCACTGAGGAAGTGAAAAGCCGAAGCATACTGCTGCATGGTCAGGTGAACAAGGCCCAAATTGTACAGAATCTTCCAGTCAAAAGGTGCCAAGTAGTTAGCTCGTTTCAGGCAGCTGATGGCCTACAGAGAGGGCCCTGGCTCAGGAACCCAGCAGCCGCACGGGTGAGCGCAGCCCGGGACCCTAAGAGGCACTCACCGCCACGTACTTCTTCTTGCCGAAGAAACACATGCCAATGTTGTTCCATAGTGGGGGGCTTTCCGGCACGGCACAGGCCGCAATTCTGTACTTGGTGAGGGCGACATCGAAGTCCCCATGAGTCTGCATCATGCTGCCCGCCGCCAAGATAGCCTGAAAACACAGCACAGGGACCCTTAATGACATGCAGGACGTTTGGTGACTCGGTTGTCCCGAATGACCAGCATAAAACAGCACCTGAGTGCAGATGCCAGGATGTAGAGATGAGCCAAGCTATAGGGACCCCTATACAACATAGACAAGCATCCTGGCTTTTCCCGTGTCTCACTGCCAGCTCACAGTACGGTTCTCTGCAGCCTCTCACCATATACCACACGCACACCTGTCCCCACCACTTCACCGGCTGCCCTTTGCATCTCTCCAAGGAGAAGGGTCAGGTGAATTTACCTCCTAAATTGGGGGGAGGGGGAGAGAATACACTGTGTCCTTGGACAGCCGTATCCTGAGTGACACTCAAGTACCTGCTGACCTCTCCACACCCCACTGCCACAGAGGCACATTCCCAAGTGAAAGTGACCCAAGCACTGCAGCTCTACCCACTGCAGGGCACATGCCCAACACGGGACATGTGCTCTCCCACAATATACACTTTACAAAACCTTCAAATAAGTTCTTTTAAAAAAAGAACAATGCAGCATGTACAGGCCCTGAGTTGATGCCCAGCACTACAGAAAAAAATTCTCTAGAATCAAAAGGAGACCATCCCTGTGCCTTCCAGGACCACCTACTCCACAAAGGCTCTGGTGTTCGTAGCCTGCGGTACCTTGTAGTTGGTGGGGTCATAAGTCAATGCATTTCCAAGATGTTCAAATGCCTTCTGGTAAACACCAAGCTTAGAAAAAAGCAGAGGAGAATTTCCATCAGCAAGAGATCAGAGTTCACATAGTCCAGCCAACAGCTCCCTGAATGGAAGCACCTAGTCATGTGGGTACTTAACACCAAAAACTGTGGTGTGTAGGCACATGACAACGACCGTGTTTGTGCTTTTCCATCTTGCTCATTCACCTCTTTATAAAGTGTTGATTTGTAGAAACTATTCAGCCACACTTTGTGAGCTATTCCACATAAATGCCTCCTGGCAGGAAATAAACTGGCTAGCCTCATGTCCTTGGCCACCTGCCAACCCAGGGCTAAGCTCCTGGTGCCACTTATAAAGAAGGAGTCAGACATAAAGATGACCAGGAGGCAGCAGCAACTGAGCAGAGAAACAAGAGTGGGCAGACCAGGCTACTCAGGATCTTTGGGTCCACAGGCTGATCAAGAGAACTGACAGCTAAATGAATCACATTCACCTCAGGAAGGATGAGGGACTTCTTTTTCTAGAAAAAAAATGAGCTTTGCCTTCCCTCTCAAGGACACTAGAAGTGCTCATTTATATCAGTTTCTCTCCAAAATGGCACTAAGGCTAAAACAGAACTGCTCCTGATTTTAATGCAGAAAGCTAATTCCTGGAAGCAAAGAACATCGAATACAGAGCAAAGTTCATGTGTCGCACGTGACCCTTCACAAAATGTGCTCAATATCCAACACAGGGAAACGTCAAGGCACTTTCCCTGCCAGCGCATACCTGTAAGTACAGCAGTCCTAGAGTTGTGAGAAGTTCGGTATTTTCTGGTGAGAACCTGCAACACAGGTGGACAGAGGGTGATGATGGTTGAGACATAGCCCTCTGCCTAACCCCTACCCCCAGCCCTTGACTGCCAAGCCTCCAACTTCCCACAGATTCCTGTAGAAGTAGGTCATCTCATCAACCCTGGCTACAAGGGAGACTGCTGGGCAAGAGAAAAGAAAGACTTCAAATCCAGACTCCATAGGCCAACAACCTAAGAAAACCTATGGAATCTTTTGTCTTGATTACACTGATAAAACTAAAGAACAAAACTCTAAAACGATGTCAGTCAAAAACATGCACTGTTCAAACTGGTCTCTTTTCTGGGATTCCCCCCCACACCCCGCCCCTTTTTCACTATGCTTACAGTGCCAGGCACCATGATTTTCTGTGTAATTTAGGATCTGAGGCCCATTAGTATTGTGCTCTCCAAATTAAACAAAATGTCATACTAAATAGCCACACTAAAGACAGAAACATACCAGCTCTAGGAAAGAATTAGCCACTTGCCCTTGGGAGCAACTCTGGACTAAATAAAGCATTATCTGCTTTTCAGTTGCTCAGTGGCATTTGTTTTTGTCAAAAAGCCAAAGCAGCTAGGCACTGGTGGCTCATGCCTGTAATCCTAGCCACCCACGGAGGCTGAGATCTGGAAGATCACAGTTCAAGTCCAGCCCAAATAGAAAAAAAGCCATGAGACTTTGTCTCCAAAATAACCAGCAAAAAGGTGACTCAAATGGTAGAGCACCAGCCAAACAAGCAGAAAGCTACAACACCTCAGCTCAGATCTTAGGAATGGCAAAAATAAATAACCAAAGCTATACAGAATTGAGATGACAGAGTTTGAACAGGCAAAGCACTGGAGGCAATAAGCTGTGTCTGGCTTCTAAGTAATGAGAGGGAAACAGAACAGTCAAAGCCCTGTCCTAACCCAGGGGCCAAACAGCTTTCTCACTTCAACTGAGACTTTGCCTTTCTGTTGTCTTAATGAACACTGATCTTGAGGCCCTCCCTCCAAAAGATATGGAGCTGAGGCTCCATCAACTCCTACACTGCTCTCTCCAAACCATGTCATGAACAAGGCCTCCACCACTCAGCTGTTCCCCTTTTCCCCAGAGAACTGCAGTGACGTAGGCCCACCCGTAATCACTAGAAGAATATCCTCCTTGGGATTTATGATTTATGTGCACTAGTGTCAAAGTGCCAACTTATAGAAGGCAGGAAGCCGCTGCTGCCAGCAGCAGAGCTACTGAAACTTGCACAGCACTTTCCTGTGTGCACACACAAACAGTCTCTTGACAAAGTTTCTTTTTTAGCATAGATACTAAGAGATCACACTGTTATTTTAGATACAGCGTGGCTGAGAAAAATGAAGAGAGCGGTGTGTAGTGATGGGTATCACTAGAAGATGATAAATGCACAGAAATCTGTTTAGTTTAGAATATCATGATCTGGAATAGCGATCAAACTTAAGCCACAGATTGGACTTTCTATTAATTGACCAAACAAATGTGACATTCTGTTACAGCCATGCTACTTCACAGAAACTAGACCTGACCCTACATAGACTACCATGGGGAAACCAGGCAGCTCCATCTTCAATAGGTATTTGGAGCACCCTAGTGATGCTTTTATTTAAAAGCAAGACATTGGCCTGGGGTTGGAGCTCAGGGTCAGGTGTGCACTGAGCATGCCCATCCCCAGCACCCAAAGAAATGAAGATGCTGGCTTCAGGCTAGGAAAGCTAGTAGTTTGTTACTGAGTAGGGAGAATTTTGTCCCTGACAGCATTTCTGGGAATACAGATCTATTTTAGTATATAAAACCAGAACAGGTAGGAGACTGCCAGCCAAGACTAAGAACCTCACTGAGGGCACATCAGCCCACTCCCTTCCTAGCTACACACAACTGCCTGACATTCATCAAATCATATGGCAGGAACCAGTACCATCTCCCCTCAGTACAACTGAACCACTGATGTTGCTTCTGTTAAGTCTGGTGAAGACAACAACCTAAGTCCTGGATCCCTGGTGGCCTTGAGGACCAAAACTGTCCAGCTAGCCAAAAGCAGCCATCTTTACAATGAGAAAGGGACCTAGATCTAAGCTAGCTTCATGCACACGTCTCTTAGCTGCAAGCTCTCCTTTTCTATCTCTCGGCTCTTAGAAAACACTTACTCCACTGCCTTCTTGTAGATTTCAATGGCTTTGTCCAAGTCTCCCTCCAGTAAGTGGATCTTCCCCAGCATTATGTAGGTCAGGTCGTGCCTGTTGAGCTGGAGGGCACTCTGCAACTGTTCCTCTGCCTAAAAAGAGCCAAGAGAACCACATCAGCACCATAGGCAGGTGGTACAATGGAGGAGCATATGGTTCAGCAAACAGCCCCCACCACCCAGAGACCAACCCCCCAAAAGCAGCTCTTGCTGACAGACTGCCTCTCCCACCAATCAGGAGAGTTCATGAGATGATTAATTTTCTGAATTTTTTTTTTTTTTTTTTGGTCATGGGACTTAAACTCAGGGCCAGGGCACTACCCCTGAGCTCTTTTGCTCAAGGCTAGCACTCTATCAATTGGAGCCACAGTGTCACTTCTGGCTTTCTGGTGATGAACCTCACAGAACTTGCCCAGGCTGGCCTTGAACTATGATCCTCACATCTCAGCCTACTGAATAGCTAGGATTACAGTCGTAAGCCACCAATGCCCAGCTGAATGTTTTGTTGGATATTCAAACCCATGATTCCTGCTTCCAGAGTCAAAAGCAACACTAGAGAACATTAGAATACCACACCAAACCCAACCCCTGCTATTCCACCAGCACCTGAACGAATGGACTTCTCACTTATTCATTCAACAAACATTCATTAATGTCTGCTAGTCTAGATAAACTAAGAAAAAAATTAACTACTGAGCTGGAGGAATGGAAAACTACATGAACAAAATGACTTTTTTCAGTAATTGACTAATTCAGCAAGTATAAACACTTGTTGTATTGAACTAGCTTAGTCTGTTAGCTTTACAGTAAAATCCAAATATAATTCTCCTCCTCAGTTCAGGTCCCACCAAAAGCTAATCTTGCCTCTCCCCAATAAACCTGTGAGTAGAAACATACCTGCTCAGAATAGTCTCTGAAGAGAAAAATCTAGTCAAGTATATAAACTGTAGTTCCATCTAGAAAACTAAGGAGCCTAGAGCTAAACAGAATTTTTCATTTATACATAGCTTACTATCTTTTCTATCTCAGTTGCTGATGTACAGATTTTTCCATACCCGAGGGACAGAGTAGGTCACACAAGTTTGCAAGCTGCCAGAGACTAAACAGCCCAATGGGTATTAACCATTTCTGTGTGTCTTGGTGGCACTGGAGAAAGGAGAATAAAACCTCACAGTCACTAAGTGGATGCAATCCCACCGTCATTTCCTTTCAGGGCTTTCAGACATTTCATCTGCATTGGTGATACACAACTGTAATCCCAGCTACTCAGGAGGATCAGTTGAGACCAGCCTTTCTGGGAAAAAGGTTTACAAGACCTCATCTCAACCAATAGCTGAGTGCAGTGCAATGGTGCACATCTGTAACCCTAGCTATGGTAAAGGTATAAATAGGATTGCAGTCCAGACTGGCCCAGACAAAAAGCAAGACCTTATTTCAAAAACCAAAAAAGCACTAGAGACATATACTTTGGTACTCAGATAAGGCAATGTACTTACTTGAGGAAGATACGTTTTGTTTTTTATTTTTGTTTTTGGGTTTTTTTTTTTTTTGGCAGTACTAGAGTATGAATTCAAGGCCCTGCACTTGCTAGGTAGGTGCTCTGTATTGAGCATTAAAGCTCATTTTGCTTTAGTTCTTTTTCAGGTAGTGTCTCACTTTCTTCATGCCAAAGCTTGGCCTCAGACAGTCATCCACCCACATTCTGCATCCCACACAGCTTGTGGGTGTTCCAGCATGCTCAGTTCACTGATTGAGATGGTGTCTTAAATAACTTTTTGCCTGGGCTGGCCTTGAACCATGACCTTCCTGCTCTCTGCCTCCCCAGTAGCTAGGATTACAGGCGTGGGCACCATATTCAGTTTTTATTTCTTGAGGCAGGGCCTTACTATGCAGCCTAGGCTGGCCTCCAACTCAAGTCCTCCTTCTTTCACCTTCCAAGTGCTGAGATTACAGGCAGTCCACTTCTTTATATTTGTTGTGTTGAATATTTGTTTTTATACTGGAAAATTAAACTTAGGTAGAGAAAAAGAAGAGTAAGCAATCAGATTGCCGCTCATGTTTCAAGAATTTTCCATTTTTGTCAAAATTAGAGGAAAAAAATTATGAACAATGACAAATGAGAAAAACAGAGATGAACGTGAAGGACAGTCTTAATTTTTACTTCCAAAAAGCTTTGCAAACACTAGAGAGGCAAAATAAGCAATGAGGCCACTGTAATATATTGTACACTGGCAGTGAATCCATAAACAGTGACTTACCTTGTTGAACTGCTTCAGATAAATATAGCAGACTCCTAGGTTATGGCAGATCTCCTACACACAAAAGGAGGAAGTCTTGTGTGATTCCATGATTCCAAGCACAAGAGAGAGTAAAACCATGGCATCTAGAGATGCTGCCTCTTGGCACAGTAACAGAAATATACATCCACTTTGTGAGCAAAAATAGGTACACTTCTACCTGTGCTGAGGGGGCTGCTAGACACAGCTCCACCCTAAGGAAAGCCTGTTTTGTCTCTCTGTCTCTAGATACCTGAGTCAGAGTCCTTTCACAGGAATTTGAGCTAGTTAAGCGCTAAATTATCCAGCCATAGACCTGTGGTGGCAGCACCACCTAGAGGCCACTATGTACAGCACATGAAATTGGAGCCTTCCACTCATGTGAAATTGGACAGCTAGCCCCTGAGCCAAATCTACTCTTGCCCTTTTTGTAAATAAAGTTTTATTGCAATGTAGTTACAACCACTTGTTTTTCATATGGTTCTTTTGCACATGTGTCCTGTATTACAGATAAGGAAATTGAAACTCAGCAAAGTAATAAGTTTGCTTAACACAGAAAATGAGATTTTTTTCCATTCAGTTCTTTTTTTTTTGGGTCCGGTCGTGAGGCCTGAACGCTGTCCCTCAGTTCTTCAGCTCAAGGCTAGCGCTCTACCACTTGAGCCACAGTGCCACCTCCGGCTTTTTTCTTTTTGCTTATGTGGTGCTGAGGAATCAAATCCAGGGCCTCAGGCATGCAAGGCAAGCGCTCTACCACTGAGCCACCTTCCCAGCCCCTCTTCCATTCAGTTCTGTATCATGACCATGTGGGAATATGGGCAGAATCACTTCCCTCCAACAGCAAACAATCCTCCACCGACTCCAAACGCCAGAGGGCATCATGTTTTATCCTTATACAGTATGTGTCTATGAAAGAACTTTAGGAAAAAAAATCCACCACTTCATACCAGAAAACAGTAACTTTTCTATCACATATTCATGTGTGCTCAATTTTTCAACTGAACATACTTGAATATATAACAAAAATCCTTAAGACTCTTCTCTCCAACTAACCAGCAAGAAGATGGAAGTGGAGGTGTAACACGCGCAAGTGATAGAACACCAATCTTGAGCAAAAAAAAGCTAAGCAAGAGCACAATGCTCTGAGCTCAACCCCAGTACCAGCACCAAATAGTATTAAAAACAAAACAACAAAAAATCCATGCTGGGGGAATGGTACATGCCTAGCATGAGCCAGAGATCAAACCCAGTACTACCATAAATAAAGGAATGAGTAAATGAAAAGACACACACCAGAGACATCAGAATTCTGATAGTAGTAACTTAAGATAACCACTTGACTGAGGAAAGCATTAAAATATTAACACGTTTACTGAAAGTTTTACTTACCCAATCTTTCTGGTTAAGCTTAGCTGCTTCATTATATACCTCAGTGGCAGCCTTATGTTTTCCCAAAAGAAATCTGTGAAAGATAGATTTCCATAATTACCACCTCCAAATTCTTATGAGACTAATTGTACTCACCCCACATTAATGTACACTGCACAGAGCAGAAGGCTCTAGAAGCCCTTTTGCTAGAGCTGGTGGTGCCGGCCAGGCTTTGGAGGCCACTGCCCACAAGAGCAGAGCCCTTGTGGTAGGATTGTGCTGGTGGCTGTCCCAAGGCCTCCCACCAATTTTAGTGCAAGTCTTCTGTAATTTTTTTTCTACAGTGTACTATATACAAACCAAAAAAGAAACAAGCCAAATTGATGTGTGTCCTTCATACACACAGCCATAGCTGCCACTACTGAGCAACACCATCCATGAGGGACACACCTGCTTTCCTCCCTAGTCTGAGTATCTCTCCTTGACTGTGGATCAGGGTCTGAGCCAGAAATGAACTACTCTACGTAGACAGTGAGGGTATGAAGGAGGTTCAGTAAGAAGTGCTGAGAGCAGGCTCTGCCCAGGAATGCATCTTCAGTGTTACCAGCAGGGTCTGGCTGATGAGCAGGCACTGCTAATACTCACAAAGACCTGGCCACCTGCTTGAGGTTATCAGCACACTGAGGACTGAGAACAGCACACTTCTGAAAGAGCTCCAGGGACTCTTGGATATTTCCTTCCAGACGAAGAATCAATGCTGCCAAGAAACAGAAAAGGGAGAAAATAAATCCGAGTTCTAGGAAGAGCCTGACATCAGAAAAATTGGGGAAGAGGGAGGTGAAAAATAACAGCAAAGTCAATACCAGTTATGTCAGAGAATATTATTAATATGAAGATTATAAATGGAATAAATGGAAAACAAAGCCATTCATTTATACCAAAGAGTCAAAAAGAACTCCCGAAAAAGGTAAGGATACAACTTTTTGGGGATAGTAAAATTTAGTTGCTCGTTCCTGTCTTTACTTTCTAAAGTTTGATCTATACTCTGTATTTACTTCATCCTGACTCACATTACAAAATTCTCAAGCTTTTTCTCATCTCTTAACTTCATTATAAGAAATCCTTCTAAGCAAGGCACTGGTGGCTCACACCTGTCATCCTAGCTACTCAGGAAGCTGAGATCTGAGGATCATGGTTCAAAGCCAGCCAGGGCAGGAAAGTCCATGAGACTCTTTATCTCCAATAAACCACCAGAAAACCAGAAGTGGCACTGTGGCTCAAGTGGTAGAGTGTTCACCTTGAGCTGAGGGACAGTGCCCAGGCCCAGAGTTCAAGCCCCATGACCAACAAAAGAAAACAAGGAAATAAATAAAAAGCGTTCCAGAAGGGTTTCTGGCTCTGAAATGACAAAGAAGGCCAGAATATTAAGCATCCACTCTGGAAAACAGTGGCCAGAATATGAAAAAGTGGCAAATGACAATCACAGTTTTCAAAATACATCAAGTAAGACCTTTGGGGAACATTTACTTGGACTTAAATAGTTTTGTTTTCTTCAAAAACCTAGGTGATAGCTGCGCACTGGTAGCTCACACCTGTAATCTGTTATTCAAGAAGGCTGAGATCCAGAGGATCGCTGCTCAGTGGCCAACCAGGACAGAAAAGTCTATGAGATTCCATATCTAAAATAACCAGCACAAAGCTAGGCCAGAAGTGTAGCTCAAGTGGTAGAGCATGAGCTGAATGAGCAAGCATGAAACTCTATGTTCAGACCCCAACACTGGCAAAATATACAAACAAAAACTCAGGTCGGGCCTGGGAAGGTGGCTCAGTGGTAGAGTGCTTGCCTTGCATGCCTGAGGCCCTGGGTTCAATTCCTCAGCACCACATAAGCAGAAAAAAGCCAAAAGTGGCGCTGTAGCTCAAGTGGCAGAGTGCTAGCTTTGAGCTGAAGAGCTTCAGGCCCATGACAGACAGACAGACAGACAGACAGACAGACACACACACACACACACACACACACACACACACACACACACACACACACACACACACACACACACACACACACACACACACACACACACGTCAAGTGTAATTCCCAGTAAAGAGAGAAGAAACATGCCTTACCTTGGACATAGATGGCGTACTCACACAACCCCTGACTCTCCTGAAGCTGCTCTTTGATAACAGCCTGCAAGAGGAAGAGGAAGGCAGGTGAGCACTGGCCAGGCATATGTGAGAAACCCAAGATACTACATTTGAACTTTTAAATCTTAATCCTTACTGTGATCATTTAGATTAGAATGGCAAGAGACAAAACTTAATGACTTTTTGTACACTTTATTTATTTATTTTGTAGTTCTGGGGTTTACTTGCTAGGCAGTTGCTCTACCACTGATCCATGCCCCAGCATTTTCTGTTGTTGTTGCTGCTTTCCCTGACTGGGCCAGTCTGGCTCATGATCCTCTTATTTATGCTTCCCATTAAGCTGAGATTACCGGTGTACACCACCACACTCAGTTTCTACTGAATGAGATGGTGTTTCATGAACTTTCTTTGTGAGCTGGCCTTAAACTATCATCCTCCCAATCTCCACTTCCTAAGTAGCATTACAGGCATGAACCACTGCACCAGACACAGGTATAAACAACTGCACCAAACCATTTTTGTACAGCTTTTAAGCAAAGAATAGTTTTTAAGGTCACAAAATATAAAATGATGATAAATATAAGATAAAGACTCACCAGGCACCGGTAACTCACTTGTAATCCTAGCTACTCAGGAGGCTGAGATCTGAAGATTGCATTTCAAAGCCAACCCAGACAGGAAAGTCTGTATGACACTTATCTCCAATCAACTACCCAAAAAAGATTGAATACAAATGGAAGAAATCTTGACAAGTTTTAAGAAAGGAACTCAATCCTATTGGCTATGCAGAAAAATCTCATTTGGAGCACAGTTGAAAACTAACTGAAAGGAGACAGGATGATTGGCAAGCGTAGATGAGTTTTTATGTGATAGAAGGATCTCTAGAACTTGATGATCATTTAAATTAAGAAAGCAAGCCAAGCACTGGTGGCTCACACCAGTAATCCTAGTTATTCAGAAGAATGAGATCTGAGGATAAAAGTTCAAAGTCATCCCAGGCAGAAAAGTCTTGGAGACTCATCCTCACTTAACCACCAATTTGAGCCACACCTCAAGCCTACCTTTTTGCTGGTTATTTTGGAGATAGGAGTCTTGCAGACTTTTCTGTAGAGGCTGATTTCAAATCATGATTCTCCAGATCTCAGCCTCCTGAGTTGCTAGAATTACAGGTGTGTGCCTTTGGTGCTCAGCTTTTTCAGCTCAGTCTTAACATGGAAAAACACATGGCACACACCTGAAGCCCAACCCAATCCACAGCCAATCTGGAGGCCTGCAAACAATAAATGTCTGCCGTTTGGGAATCACTAGAATCTTTTTTTTTTTGGTCCAGTCGTGGGGCCTGAACTCTGGGCCTGGGCGCTGTCCCTCAGCTCTTCAGCTCAAGGCTAGCGCTCTACCACTTCAGCCACGGCGCCACTTTCGGCTTTTTTCTTTTTGCTTATGTGGTGCTGAGGAATCGAACCCAGGGCCTCAGGCATGCAAGGCAAGCGCTCTACCACTGAGCCACCTTCCCAGCCTCTCACTAGAATCTTAAGGGTGTTATATGGGGTCATCTGAGCTCTAGCAAAGCAAAAGCTAACAAATACATAAAGCACAGGAAAGACAGATTAACTGGACATGAAGAGCCAGCCACCCCCTGCACACAAACCCTGGTGGCTGCTGCCTGTTGGCAGCCCCCTTTCATTTCTCAGTCCCTCACCTCTCACCTTGCATGCTTCATAATCCTTCCGGATATAGTGCAGATGTATCAACCAGTTCTGCCTCTCCAAAATGGGGAACTCTGGAGCTAGAGAGGAGGGCACAGTTTGCCAAAAAAAAAAAAAAACAACAACACAATCCTTGTTAGATTTTTCTCCTTTGGTCTCCTCAACTCTATACTAACTGTAACCGCATTATAATCACACTAAATTCTTCATACTGCTAACCATTAGAATATAACAGTGCATCCATCTTATGCAGATAAACTATTACATTAAGAGATACTTGCCCTGCTAATACGCTGGATATACTTAGAATGCCAGTTTCCCACACAATAACTTTGCCTAGAAAACATAAAATCACCATCCTTTGTCTCTGCTCTCTCTCCCTGGAAAGGTGAACAAGCAAGGCTCTGGGTTCAATCCCCACCACTGCAGAGAATAAAAACAACACAAACTTCTTGAAAAAGTTGACTAGGAAAGATGTTTGGGAATAGGAGATTTCAGGGAATATTTCTAATGAAATATACTTAACATAGTCACACTTGATAGATAGTACCAAAAACATGAAATAGTAAAAACATAATCTTTAGAAAAGGCTCAAAAGGGGCTGGGAAGGTGGCTCAGTGGTAGAGTGTTTGCCTTGCATGCCTGAGGCCCTGGGTTCGATTCCTCAGCACCACATAAGCAAAAAGAAA